TCTGATGTGAGTCCTTCCCACAGGGCTGCAGCTCTTCATGAACTGCTCCAGCATGGGTCCCTGACACGGCTGCAGTCTTCCCAAGGACAGACTGCTCCAGCACGGGCTTTCCACAGAGTCCCAGCCGTCTTTGGGCGCAGCCACCTGCTCTGGTATGGGGTCCTCCACGGGCTGCAGGTGGGCATCTGCTCCACTGTGGACCTCCCTGGACTGCCAGAGGACAGCCGGAGTCCCTCTGAGAGTCTCCTCCTGTCACCCTGGCACAGCAGCCTAATGGCAGACAGGCCCTCTCCTCCCCTCCCCTTGGGGCTTAGCCTGTAGTTTGGGAGTGCTGTAATTGTCCGTGTTGATCTCGCAGAATCCTTATTTAAATAATCTCTCCAGCTGTTTAGAAATGCCTTTCTCTGCCCCAGCTCACTCGCTCTCTGCAGCTTGGAGCCATTAGTAACCCTATGGAGGTGCATCACCCTGCTTCCTATTGAAAATACCAGCCAGCGTCACCCTTGCTGTTTGTTAAGTATTGAGTTGTATCTGAGCAATTTATCTAAAAGCAGGTTTTCTCTGCATCTGCGTTTTCAAGAGGAGCATAGCTTTCTAGGATGGATCAAAGAAACTTATATGAGTGTAAAGAACAATCCTCTCATTGTTTTAAGCTGTGAACTCTTGGGAGCTCATACTGTTTCTAAGTATATGCTTGTGTAGTCCCAGGGTTTCTACATGACCCCAATTCTCGTTTGGTTTTCTGTTACTACCATAATAATATTTAAAGGTGACCTTCAAAAGAAAAGAGGAAAGGGCTTTTTATTCTTTGTTACTTTTTACCTTTATACATGTAGAGAAGTCCCCAAACGGTGGTTTGGTGGGTAGGGTTTTTATTGAGTTGGTTTTGGTGATTCCTTCTTCCTGTGTGTGATACACATTTTCATCCCCTCTGCTTTAGAAAGCCATGTGGGTAATAGTAGTCAGCTTGGTAAGGTTCAGGTGCCTAGGAAATCAGACAGCAAGATGAGAGTTGAAGGGATAAATGACTTTTGGTTTTTTAAAGGTGCCAGCTCGTGTTTAGCACAGCTTCTTTCCTGAACCTGAGCATTTAGTGTGGTTCTCCCTCCTGTACCTCCAGGTGAGGCTTGAGAAAACATTTAAGCAATATTTTTCAGAGAGCAAATAAAACTTCCAGTAAGGATGGACTTTCTGATACTGATAGTTAAATATATAAATAAGCATAAGGGAAAACAATCTATTCAAGATATTCTTCATGAATTTTAAGCTAGCAAAGCAAGCCAACCAAAAAGGGTCAAATGGAATTTTTTTCCTTTTCAGGTCACCTTTGAGGACTGTATAGATCAAGACAAGGATTTTTCATTCTTTTAGGAAGCAAGTAGAGAGGCATTGGAATTTGCAAAGCTCAGGTGTGTGGTAGGTTTGTGTCAAACCGTGGTACTCCCGCATTCAGTCTTCATTTTGCAGTCACTGTGATCCTCACATAGACTGCTCCAGTAGCTCTAGTTTATCTGCTGTATCTTGACACAAATACATCTTTCCCTTGCTGCGTGACTATTTTGAGAAGATAATGGTTGCTACCACATACAAAGTAGTAAGGGACTTGGTTTTTTCCTCTTCGGTTAGATAAAGTGAGAGATCTACAGGAGAGCATGCTGAGATAAATATGTGCTTCCAGTATTTTAGTATTTTTTTAAAGTGGTGTTTCTTTCATGTGGAATTGATTGGTGTGCATTTTCAATACATGAATCCCAACCTACTGTTTTATGTCAGTTAATACCATAGGAAACATTCGTTTGGCAAAGAAAAGAAGTTATACTGGCATTAAATAGGAATAAATAGAAGTTAATCCAGTGTTTGTACTTCCAGTTTACCAGACAGAATTAAAGGAGCAACCTCACCGCTTTCTACAGCTTCTTGATGAGGAGAAGTGGAGAGGGAGGTGTTGATCTGTTTTCCCAGGTATCCCGTGATAGGATGTGTGGGAATGGTTCAGAGCTGCGCATGGGGAGGTTCAGACTGGACGTTGGGAAGCGTTTCTTAAACACTGAAACAGGCTTCCTAGAGAGGTGGTCGATGCCCCAGGCCTGTCAGTGTTCAAGAGGCATTTTGGACAATGCCTTTGATAATGTGCAGTTGGACTAGACGGTCATTGTAGGTCCCTTCCTACTGAACTATTTATTCTGTTCTACTTCCATTCTATTCTATAGTAAACATAGAATCTTGATTACCTACAGCTTGACTATGTTTGGGTTTTTTTTTTTTCCCCTTGCTGTGGGCAAAGTAGCTTAGACACTTGGCTTCCTATCATAACACAGTCCTTAATCCCTTTCCTCCTCATTGTTCTGTACTGATACTTCTGAGTCCAGACTGGATAAGGGGAATGTGGCATTGTATAGTTGAATTTGTGGTCAGCCTCAGTCCTACGCTGTGAGATCCATAGTTTAGTTTCTTCAATGAGTTTGGACCCTGAAATGATGTACAGTTGTTTAGCCAGGGCACAAGACAGGCAGAGCTACAGCAATAGGTGCTGAGAGAAAAAAAGTCCCCTCTGGTTTTATTCAGCTTCCTAGTGAGACTTCAGAACTCATCGCTTTCACTGTCCTGTTCTTGAGTAAGCAAGCAGCATGTAGCCAAGCCCAAACCTTTTTTTTGGCTTTAGCTGGAATGCTATGAAATCTTTTGAGCTCAGAGGGCCATTTGGAAAGCTGGTGTGACTTTCAGTACGGATAAGCCCTCCAACATAATCTGAGGCAAAGGAGTGTTGAAATTCAGCCTTTATCTTCACAGAAGTTGCACAAAATATCTGACTTTTACATTGACGTTGGTTCACAAATTTGCGTGAAAACTGCGAAGCCTGGGAACTCTGGGCTACTAATAGTGCAAGTCCATGTCCTACCTCGTATTTTTATTTTGTGATCTGTGAGTTGGCCACATCACACACAGCCATGATGTGTAAAGTGGGATGGGGGCAAAAAGGCAGCTCATTCTTGATTCTGAAGAGAGATGAGTTTAATGCTTGCTGTGTTTTATCTCCTGGAGCAGCCTGCCTCTGGCTGCTTGGGTACAGAGGGTGAATGATAGTTTCCCGCCTGGTCTGTGGTCTCATTTAATGGTCAGCACAAGTAGCTCCTAGAGTCATTTTAATGATTTTTTTAAAACCTGCTCCGAAGTATTTACACTTCCAAATAATCGGTTCGAAACTTGCTGTTGAGTTTTAATACACTTAGAACGCCACATTCCAAGGTTGGGACTATAAGCTGTTATTTCACTGGGATTTACTGTAGTTCGGGTTGTGTGGTGCTTATTTCTGAACTTGGTACTAACATGAGCCACAGATGAAAAGTTATTGGAGGATTTTTGCCTGTAGTATAGATGTTATTCATGTCCGGTTTTATTTAACATGAAGCTAAGCTTTTATTTTAATGGAATCAGTATATTTTCCTTTGTGAGTAGTTTATCTTTAGGCAAAATAAATATTGACGAGAAAGGCATTTTTGTAGCTAGATATTTGAGCCATAAAAAATTAATGTGCCCTGGAGGTGTGAAAGTAACAGACTTGTATAATTTCAATTTAAAAAAGCAAAGTTTCCATGTTGATATTTTCTCATATCAAAAATTTGAAATTTTACAAAACTGCTGTGAACTGCTGTGGCTTCTGGTGTAATTCTTCATAAGACAGCAAAGTAGAGACAGAATAAATTACTTGCAACTCTAAGGAACGTATTTCTGTGAGCTGCTGTAATGTTTTATTTCCACTCTGGTAGAGATTTCTCATATTGTAAGGATGGATTCCTTGGCAGCCTCACCTAAGGGAGTCTAGCAAGTCTCATGCAAATAAAAGCACCTGCAGAATAATTGTTCCATTTCTCTTTCTCTCTCCTTTTTTTTTTGTGAGATTTATTTACCTCAAGGGTTGCAAGTTTTCAGACTTCAGATCTATACCCATCTTTACCTATGATAAATACATTTTTGCTTTGGCTTAGGACATCTTTAATCAATAAATAGCGATATTACTATCCAACAAATAATTTTTCACATATATTTAGCCATGGTAGTGTGGTGGTAGTGGAATGATAAGTAGTCATTCAGAGATTCTCCTTTTTGTGAAAACATGGATGCTTTAATAGGGAAGAAGAGGTTTTTTTCTCCTAAGATTTTGTTCCATAGGACCTAGTTTATTATTTTAAAATAAATATATACAAATAGAAATAATTTATTTCAAGGAAATCTAAATATTGTTTTATTGCCTTGTACAACAAGAACATTTATGTGAGGTTGCTTCAAATCAGATTACAGCCTTGTGCAGGACACTGTGCAGAGACAGTCGAAGATTTAAGTTCAATTCACCCAAAAGAGTTTATTACTACTCTTCTGTAGATGCAACTTGCACTGACAAGTGTGCATAAACTTTGGAAAGCATTTTTTTTTTTGTTATCATAGTTGCATCTATCAAGATTTTTTGCGATTAATTTAAAAAGGGGAGGGGGGGCATGCATCAGGGTTTCCCAAATACTTGTAGTGGGTGTTAAGTCTTCATCCTTATTTTGAAAAATCTCAGCTATGAAGCAATCACAAGCAGGACAGTATAGGATCTGGAGGGTCTCCATCAAACAGGGGAATTGAAAAGAGAACGAAACCCAGGGCTTCGGCCTGCTGTTCTCAGGGATCCGTGGGCAGCTGTTAAACCTGGGGATGAAAGGGTATTTTCCTTAAGCACCACTGCTTTGTGGCTTTGGATTTTGAGGATTCCTCTCTGGAAGAGTGAAACTTCCCTGGCAGTACTGATGCACTTATAAGTCAAGCTTTCCCCTGTGAAAAGGTAAGTTGGTGAACATGCAAATAAACACTTTCGCAAATGTGTAGAAGTTTAGCAAATAAATATGGCAATATTTCCTTTTAAGAGATTCTTATCTGTTAAATTTTGCTGTAATTATTTTATTGTGTCAACAAAATCTTGAAATAGAACTGCTTTTAAACATGGATTTTTCTTTTTTTAGCACTGGTTGGACCATTCAAAATTCATTAAGAAGCAAATAAAAAGTAAGTACAATGCCTCTGCCTGTTTGTTACTTTCTAAAGAATTTGAACTTAGAGTGTTTGAATGTGATTGTGAATGTTTAAGTATAGCCTTTAGTGGAATAAACGTTTCTTAGGAAATAGACTTAATAAGCAATATGACCAGCCTTCAGTGGCCCTCATTAACCATGTGTTGTTTGTCTGAGGCAGAGTAAGTTGCCAGGTAGTTTCTGTCTGATCTGTGAAATCAGGTTGCCTGGACACAGATCCTTGGTTTTAGTCACTGCTTCTGATCCAGGACAGATTTCCTGGTTTGTTTTTTTTTTTGTTTTGTTTTGTTTTTTTTTTTCAGAGTGTTAATGGGAAATATTTCATTGTCTAATGGTTAATCTATTTTTGTGTATGATGAATAAAACTAGCAGAAATACCTGCTGTTTCATCACAGGGAGTTTTGGGTAGAATGGGTTGGGTTTGGCCACTGAGTTTATGGAAATTGCCTAAGGCGAGTGAGTTGGCCCTGGATCTCTAATAATTTGGTTGCAGGCTTGGGTACAGTACAGCATCAGCACTAACATGCTTTTTTAATATACTGCAGTTGGCAACATCCATAGGCTAACTGATATCTTTTCTGTGAAATTAAAATACGGTGTTTTGCAAGGGAATTGTTGACCCCCTTTCAGGACCTCAGAGGTGTGTCTTGCTTGCTTCAGTGGTGCTCTGCCTTTCTAATAACTATCCAAATATCTAGATGATTTTTGTAAATGGTGGAATTCTTCGAAGGTCTTCAGGACAGTTTGCTTTCACCCCACAGTGCGTGGGTGTCAGTCTGCTAGAACAGGCGGTAAAGATAGCTGCTATGGGTAGGGTTTTGGTGGTTGGCTTTCCCTCACCATCACATCACAGATTGCTTTACCTTAAGTGACTGAGTGATTTGCAGGTGCGCTTTCTGTGATAGATTCATCCTTTTCTTGATCTGTCTTAAAACGTGGAAAATCAGCGATTCTGTAACACCTTCAACCAGTTTAGTTGCACTGTTTTGTCTGTTTAATCTACGAAGGGTCTGTTTTAAAAAGAAATTGGCCAAGCCCTGCCCTGGGGAATGTCGAAGAAGGAAGCAATTTGTTGAGTGTTGTAAAGGTCTGACTCACAGCAGGATGCTTTTCTTTAGCTTGCGTTCAGCAGGTGTTTTGAGAAGAGTTCCTCTTTCCTGATGGATGGTGCTCACTGCTCTTTTTTTTTCCCAGCAGTGGACAGATAAGAGTCATTATCTCGCTGATGCAGACCTTGTCAGTGGTGCCTAACTGTCAGCCTAGGGTACTGTAACCTGTCTTCTAGCAGCTATCGTTGGAGACAACGTCAAAGCTCTAATTTATTACAGTTTCAGGTGCATGTTGTTTAGTAAAATGGATCGGTAATAGGCACATATATACTGTGTTGATGTGGTGTTACAGAATACCTTAGAAAGGTGTGAAAAACAGTCATTCTTCCATTACTTTATATACTAGCAGGCTGTTGCTCTGGAAGATGAGACTTAGGCAGATAAGGATGCATAAGGTCACAGTTTCATGGTAGCTGGGTAACATTTTATTGTCTGTGTTACACAGAAAGTCAGACCTAGCATTCACCTTCTGGCATTAGAAGACAATTCTTGCAACTCCATTTCCTGGAATTTGTTAGCTTTTTGTGTTCACGGGTGCCTTCCAGAATCCTCTCCAGCACTTTTGACTTTATTTATCTTGCCTTTTCTCATTCACGTGTATCAATCAAGAGCTGTTCTATTGGTTGGGGGGTTTTTTTGGAGTTGGTTTTGTGCCTGATAACAAGAAGTGTCACCCTCTCCTCCCTTCCCTTCCATCTCCCCATGCCCCCAGCAACAGGCAGTGTACCTGGAACTTGATGTCATTCACAACATGCTGCAGGGCACACCTCTTTGTATAAAAACATGTTTGACAAATGCACTATTGCTTGATTAATCTATTGATTAGAGTACCATAAAGCATGGTAATAATCTAATTTTTTTTTTATTGCATGCATTTTAAACATTTAAAACATTAAATATGTGCTTATTTGAAGAATTTGAAAAACATACTTCATTTTGGCTTTCTTGGGTGGTGGGGTGGTGGCTGTTCTGCCTTAGCAGAACCGCAACTAGTATAAACTTTTTTTTCCCCATTTGAAATCTCTGCCTATACAGTTGGACCTCCGTACACGTTGCATTTTCGAATTAAGTACTATTCATCTGAACCAAACAACCTTCATGAGGAGTTTACAAGGTAGGAACTATGCATGGGTAACTGGGTGACTGGCAGAGGGGTAAATAAGATGCCTAAGTTGCATGGGGATACTGTAAGCAGGTGATTTGAGCTTTCTTACCAGTAGGTCATTTTGCCTGACTTCTTAGGTGTTTTTCTGCTGTCAGAGAAACATCTTTTTATTTGCTGCCAAAAACCATTCATGGACCTCTTCAAGTGTTTTAGGCTGTAGGAGAAGCTGTGTTTTTGTGCTGTGAAGTTAACAAGGAAAGGCAGCATTGGGTGGGGAGAGCTGCAGCTGGGAGGCAGCTGGATGTGGTTTAATAATGGTACAAAGGCCACGGAGCTGTGGGAATAGACAGCTTGAGTTCTTGGACAACAGTTGATTGATTGAATCTCTTCCACTTCCCCCTGAGTTCTCTGTGGTGCAAAAAGTGTAAAGACTTCATTTGAATACCTGGAGATCTTCTGTTACAGTCTGGTGGGCCATTTTCTGGGCTGTGAGGACTACACCTTGCTAGGTTCGTAGCAACCTGGTGTGATCTAGAGGGTATTCTGAAAATTGGGAAAGGTGCAGCTAGAGAAAAAGGTTTTACTTATCTTTTGTATCTGCCAACATTGTGTCATCTTTGCCTAGTAATCATCATCTTAATGGGTTTTTTTGTTGTTGTTGTTCTGTTTCTCACCATAGGGCAACTTCAGTATCTTCTAATTTGCTTGGCAATAATCAGTGTATTCCCAGTCAGCCTAAAGGTGTTTAAAGATTGTTGATTGTTGTAGTTCATGTGCATGTGATTTTTACATTAAATTTATGCCTGCAGGCATATGTTTACTGTCTCTTTTCCTATCTGCTGTGCTTACTGTGGTTTTGTTTTGTTTTTTTTTCACTGACTGAGACAAGATCAAATTGCTAATTGTCACCACCCTGTGATACTCACATGGAGGTTTTAATATCCATTATCAATTTAGTGCAGCAGTGTTAATAAAAGGGCATATTCCTTTACAGCATATAATTAACCTATAGAAGTCCCTGCCACTTCTGTAATTGAGTATAAGATCTTAGAGAATCCAAAAACCTGGATGATGGATGATTTTGGGGTGTATCTAATGAGAAAATGCAACTAAATTAGTAGGAATAATATTTTTTTTTCTGAAAATTTAGGTAAGTCTTCATACATCAGGGTGCATGTCTAACAAGTATTGCATTTCCCCTGTGGTCAAATTATTCCATTACTGTCGGCCACAAGATTTCTTGCTTAATCCTCTGAAGCATAGGATCCTAGTCACTGTAAGATGTGGGTTTGTGAGCTGTGTGATCATTGCTGTGATTAAGACATTTCCTCTGAAAGTATTAACTGCTGATGCTTTGTGATCTAGTTAGTGCTGAAAGGTGACATTTCAGAAGAATGTTTTAATTAAAAAAACACTTTAGTTGGCTAAATTTTCAGTTTTATGAACAGGGTTGTTTGGTTTTTTTTTTTATTATAAGCTTGACAGAAGACCACTGTGAAACTGCGGAAGGAAAATGAAAATGAGTTGGAAATTGATTTAACAGTGAACAAATAGTTGTATTTTTTGTGGGGAAAGTAATTTTGAATGTTGCTGTTTTTTAAAGAACCTTGTTGCTGGCTGGATCACATTTTCCATGTACCTTGTTGAGTAAAAAGTGAAGATTGGCAACTATATACTCAGAATTATTCCAAATAAAAAAATGGAATGGGAGTAAGAGGAGGAAGAAAAATGATCATTAACAGTAACCCATGATCTGGCCTGGTTGGGGGGATGTCCAGAATTCCTTGTGGAGACCTGATTTCTAGTGAGCTCCAGTTTCCAGTGCAGCTGTAAACATCATATTCTCATAATTAGCACAGGCATGGGGAAGCGTTGAAACGCTTCCCCCGCTCTCTTTCTCCAATTTAAAAACACAGTTGAAATCCAATGCCTTTTGGAAGACGTTTTCTGTCACTTTTATGGGCCCTGATTAGTTAGCTTAACGCGTGTTGTGGAGAATTTTCTAAGGTGTTTTGCTGCTTTGGAGCATGATCAATTGAGGCGCCGGTGCTTGTCGGCCTGCGTGCCGAGGAGGCGCAAGAGCAGGCCCTACCAACCGGAGCAGAGCTGCAGCGCCGCCCGGGCTGGCTGCCGCTGACGGGAGCGCTGCCCGGATTTGTCCTGCAAGTTTAGAGGAGTTCGTGGGATTGTGAATCATCAGGGGGAAACAGTAAGAGCGTGAAATACACTTGTCTACCCTAAATCTATGCACGTTAATACCCAGGTTTGATTGGCAACTCGGGTGTTAGCCAAGTATGTGAATCAGAGATGTGACACCGAGCTAACGTGGATGAATCTGATTCTGCTTTAGTATATCATGAGGAGTCTTTTTAAATCTTCCTTTTCATTTCTGTTTTCCTGTCTGATTCCAGCTATTCACCACGTTCATGGCACGTCCTCGGTGATGAAAAGCACTTTGTGTTTCTTTGTTAACACCGGAGAGGTTTACATTCACATTTACCGAGTTGACTCTCGGGGTAGCGCTTCACGCTTTCTTCTCTCGAGTTACCCACCACCGCAAGCCTCACCCCGCGGTGTGGGGGCCAGTGCAGAGCCTGCCTGTGCCCCCCTACCCTGCACAGAGCTCCTGCACGGCCCGGGGCACTTCCACAGGCCTCAAACCCCGGCTCTCGGTGGCTGCGAGACATGAAGCACGCCTGGAACTCAGCATTAGCGATAGTTTGAAGGCTGTAAATTCCTACTTGGACTCCTAAATAAATCTGTAGGTTCTGTGGAATTCAGGGGTTTTTTTTTATTTAATACTTTAATGCTCTTGTAAGTGAAAACTCAGTCAGCTTTTCCTTTTGCCCCAGTTTGGGCTTTTTCCATATTCTGCAATTGTGTTTGTGAAGGTAACCCTGAAGTCTTCATGCCTTTATCTGTGTGATGTCTAGATCCTGTAGTTCAGTTCTTCCTTGAATTGGTCAAGACCCAGTTCAGGAGAACACTGGAGTGTCGATAACATTTAGGTTGCTGTGGTATATGCTCAGACAGAGCACGTCCCCAAACAGCAAGGCTTTGGACAATGTCCTGAACAGAGCCAGTAGGTAAAAAAAGTTCTTTTTGATTTTAGTGAAAACCGTGGGAACTTTGAAGGTTGCAGAGTGTATCTGAGTGATCCCAAAGGCCCTTTTTTTTTTTTTTTTTTTAAGAGCAAGTTAATGAAAATGTGGTTAGTCAGTCAACTGGGATATTTTTCTAGCCATTGAGGCTAGAAAGATGACATATATATATATACTTTTGACTTTTTGAATTTTCATTTGTCAGGTACCTGTTTGTATTACAGCTCCGGCAAGACATTCTTTCAGGGAAGTAAGTACCTCTTTGCTCTTGCAGCTGTAGTTTAAAGTATTTATAATAGTTAATCTCTTAGTGATCTAAAATTTTATGTTAACTGCCTGATCTTTTTAATTCTTTATGGTTTTCATGCACAGATTTTAAACATAATTTACAGTTCAACATGCTTTTTTTTTTCCTTTAGAATACAGCAATATACAACTTTGTGTGCATCATGACTATGTTATTGATAAATAGAACGGTTAAAGACCTTTGATGCATTGGCCAGGTGATGGAAATGTATAAAGAGAGCAAAGACTGTCCTGAATTTTATGACTTGAAAATGTAATACGGGCTTGCCATATTTTTCAGTATGGTAGGTGAAATAGAGGAAGAAAAGATGATGAAGTGCAACACCTTACACACCGGTCAACCCTGCAAAAATATTTTGTGTGTTTATAGTCTCACTCTGGCCAATAAATTCACACCTGTTCTTTGTTACAAAACCAAAAAAACTCAAAACCATATGTTCTAAAACATAGTGTTGAAGATAAAATGGTTTCTTAGTTGGTTTAATCTTGTGTCTATTAGTTCAAGCTTGTTTTATGGTGGAGTGTATCGTGTGCTTAGTGCTAATGAGAATGTACAAAATTAGGAAATAATCTTATGCAAGTAGAAATGAATTGTAGGTGTTTCATATCATTAATGGCTTGTGGAAGTAACATTTCCATTTCTTACATCAGACTACTTTTTAACTTTATTGCAAGAGGAATTCACTGAGAAAAAAAGACATGGTTTTTATAGCTTGTTTTTCTTCTTTTAAAGACTGAAATGCCCGTATGAAACTGCTGTTGAACTAGCAGCTCTGTGTCTTCAAGGTATGCAATCTTTTGAAAGTGGTTTGTCCCAATGTATTAAAAAAACTCACCTACTAGTTTCTTTTCACTCTTTGTTACTAATGCTTTCTCACTGATGATATATAAATGCTATTCCTTTACCTGAGGAGGAGAATTTTAGGGAGATCACTTTCCTGCCTTCCCTCTGTTCGTCACTTCTGAACTACATTAGCCAGCGTCGGCACACTTGCCATGGGGAAGGAGCCTCAAGGGCGTGTAGGCAAAGGTTTCATGGAAACCAGGGGCTGGCCAGGGGAGGAAGACCCCAAAGTGTTCCCTGCCGAGGGAGCAGCTGTGGTTCAGCCTGGAGATCCGGCTGGCCCTTCTGCTCCTCCTGCCAGGACGGCGCTCGGCAGAGCCAGCCTCCACCGTGAAGGCTTGCAGGGCAGGGGCAGCGGGTGGCACGGGCTGGGGAGGAGAGAGTTAAATAGAAAGGAAAGAACTAAAATTGTTTCTGTGTCAGGAGGAATGGTTACAAGATTTAAAAAAAAAAAAAAAAAAAAAAAAGAAGAAAAGAAAACAAAAAACAAACCAAAACAAACAAAAAAACCCAAACAAACAAAACCAAACAAACGAAAACAAAACAAACAAACACACACACAAAAAAAAAAAATCAGCAGAAAAAACCTAGAGTGCTAGGTTTCATTAGTTCATTGTAGGAAAAAGTATTTTCTTTTTTTATTGCTACAGACACATTAATACAAATAGTCATTCATTTTTAGGTGGTTTGTTTTGCAGATGCGAAAGAAACTTGTGTAATGAAGCTGAAATCAACTTCATTTTTTTTTTTCTGAAAGGAAGTGCAGTGAGCTGAACCGTTCTAGGCGTATCAGCAGCAAAATGGATAGAAAGGAAAAATATTCTTCCTGTTCTGCTGGCGGTTGGCAATGGTACATGGGGTGCTTAGGCAGTGTCTCACTTTAATGCAGCAATGGCGATAACTCGGTGATTCTAGATGAACTTGACAGTCAAAACTGGCAATTCAGTCCCAAACTGCAACAGGTGTAAATCTTAAGGCAGTGGGTTATTTTTCTGCACCAGTCTGGCACAGCTCTGATTGTCAGGTGTGCAAAGAACTGCTGCGGGCAAACTCTGTTTGTCTTTTTGAGATGGAGAAAATCTGGAGCCCGTATTTGATTCATTGCTTCCGTTTTCACAGATAAAAACACCGGTAACCTCACCCCTGGTCTAAGCAAGGAGAACCAAGCAAAGAATAATAGCTTCATGCCTCAACATTTTGGGTAGTAATTGACACGTGTGATTACTTTGCAAATGTAATGAAATAGCCATCCAACATGTTTATAATATTTCCAACTAGGTACCAAAACTAACACTTCTTGGCACTGTTTGTGGGAACATACTTTTATAATTCTGTCTTTTTTTCAGTTTCAGTTTTCTGCTATTTTGACACCATCACAATAAGTTTCTCCAAAATTATTTTATTGTTGCGACTAATTTATTCTCCCTGCTAACATATGCTATAATTAGTATTTTTTAGTAGAACATTTGTTACATTTTATTGACATCGGAAAATCAGTTAAGCAGAAGAGTTTAAAAAAATGTCAAATGATTATTCCCTCTTCAGCAGGTTGCATTTACTCCCTAAAATCCAATTTTGCTCCTTAGCGTGGCTTTCCTAAGAATGAAGAAAAAGTTATAAATTACTATTTAGGCATTAGTACTCTAAGCCCTCTGAAAGAAAAGCCTTTTCACAGGACAGCTTTAAACTTTCATACGTTTTCTTTACCAAGGAAGTTGTTCTATTACAGCAATTCTTACTTCATTTCAAACAACGGTTTCCAAGGCTGGTGTTTTGTGTGAATCATCTTGCAAACATAAATTATTGGTTTGTTACCAGTCCCGTGAAGGAAATTCTGTAGCAAATACCATGGATTGGCAGCATGGGGTAACTTGTGAAGCAGATACATAATTGCGTGCTTCACTTGGGGATTATCTACAGAAGGGCTGTAATCAAACCTGAATTGTCACTGTTAGCACAGCTTTTTAACCTACCTCGTTAGTCTTGTGAGGCTTCCTTATTTAACCAGGTATACTTTTGAAAGTTCCTTTTGAATTTAATTAGAAAACTTTTTCTCAGAACTCCAGTTTTAAGTTCTAATCATAAGACATCTTTATGGGATAGTGCAGACTTTTTTTTTTTTCCTGTCTGTGTGAAAGTATCAACGATATACTTAAACATGTTTTTGCAGTTTTCAAGAACTTCCTAGGAAACTTCCTTTAAAAATGTCCCCCAGTTTATGCAGTTATTTCTTAAAGAACAGGGATAATGTATATTAATGTGTTATGTTAAAAAAAAAAAAAAAGACCAGAGGAGGGCATGCCAAAGCATGGTACTTTGTCATAAAACCACAAATGAAGAGATGGGTTCTCTGCTGTGCCCTTGTGCTGAGCCATTCAGGGAGCATGATACGGCTGGGGAAGACGCTGTTGAAAGCATCCTCGTACGGAGCCAGCTCTTCCCCCTTTGACTGCCCTTCTACCCCATGCGGGGAGCTGGAGAGACTCTTCCTGGCTCTTTCTCTCAAGACCTGTTTCTTAGAGATTAAAATGAGGACGTAGTTTGTTTGCCTGAATATGAACAGTGCATGCAGCTATTGAGAAACAAGGGTGATATTTTTCTTGTACCTAGTACTTCTGCTCTAGCTTCTCTGTGTCTCTTTTGTTCTACACACTCATGATTTTTCTCATCCATACACATCCTCTTTACAGCACAGTCAGCCTTCATTCCCCGCCTTCTTTCTCAGTTAACTAGTAGAGAAATCTCCCATGTTTTTCCTAGATGGTTGTCAACACATCAAACTTCAGTTTCTTACTTATTTTCCCTAAAGTCCTCCTTGTTAATGTGTTTGTTGTGGCTCCCTCTTATATGCTGGAGACTGGACTGCCAGTAATTCTTAGCAACAGCTGTGTTAAATAGGCTTCCAACTTAGTTGAAACAGTGGAAGAGCTGAGATCTCTCTGTTAAGGAGAAAGACATATAGATAAGAATACTGTAACTCACCATGGAAGATTACTGTTGAAGATAAAAAACGTGTGATGCGGTAGTTAGAAATGAAGATCAGTGAACTCAATCCGTTTAATATCTTCAGGAATGCTAAATGTTTGAGCAAAGCTCAAGTGTTCAAAACCACGTAGTATCAACAGATTGCATTTTGAATGTAACTTCCTATGTTCTAATGTATTCCGCTAGGTATTTTTGAAGACTGAGAGTCAATTACATTTTTGCAACTGTTATGTGTAAAACTGCCCTGAAGCAATAAAACTGTTTTCTTCAAGGGATTTAATTTCCTTCTATACTTTTTTTTTTTTTTTTTGGTAGTATGGTAGTAGTAGTAGTACTCAAGAAACACTGACTGACAGAGACCTGGTTTGGAGTTATGTCACGTGTCAGGTGACACGTGGTATTGCTGAGCGGTGTATTTGCCACCGATGTTTCTGTGTCAGTCCCGAGGCAGTGACACTGCAGTCTCTTTGTGTAGCTGGGAGCTTCCAGGAGCAAAGCATGTCGCAGGCACGAGACAGTTAAGGGCATCAGTCACTGTGATGCTCAGCGCTTGCTTCTCCTACTGAGCTCAGTAGAGTTAGCCAAGTGTTCTGCTCCTAGAAAAGAAGATACCAGGCCCTAAGCAAATAAGTAAAAAGTGGCACCTCAGTTATGTGACTGCTTCAGCATTTCTTTCCTTAAAAATTACTTAATCTGAATATCACACCACCACTGTGGTTTAAAAAAAAAAAAAAAAAAACAAAAAAAAAAAAACAAAACACAGAAACACCCACACCTTTATCACTGGTTTCTTGAGACTAAGTGTTATTTTCATGTTTTGACATGAACAGTAATGTAACAAAGCATGCAACAGAACAGGAAGTGTTTTGGAATGAAAAGTATGACCTTGTTGCAATGAGAGGAAGTTTCAAAGTAACCTCTTCTGAAACAATAGTGCATTGATTTTTGCTTTTAATAGAAACTTTTTTTCCTTTAAATGCTTTAAAATCCAGAGAAGTGGCTTTAATTAAGCTGGTTTAGTTCTAACATTCTTAAGTGTCAGAATTCTGTACCATAACCTTACACTGCTCCTGCAAATGCATTTGTCTGACTTTAGCTGTAAAATCTGGTTTGAGTTTGTGGGGCGAAGGGGGGTGGGTGGGTGTTTAACTGACAGCATTGGCACAAGTGCATTCTTCTACAGCATACTTAGAGACTTACAAACTGTCATTGTCTTTGTGATGGTTACGGAGTTCAGTGTTTCTGGTGATGCAGTGATCTTTATGTTTTTGACTTTTCAATTGATTTCTTGCAGCTGAGCTGGGAGAGTGTGAGCACCCAGAGCACACACCAGAACTTGTGTCTGAATTCAGGTTTGCACCAAACCAGACAGAAGCAATGGAATTTGACATTTTCCAGAAATGGAAAGAGTGCAGGTAGGATACCTGTGTAGGAGTGCTGTCTCCAGCAACAGGAGGTTTTCTTCTCTTCCAAAGTCAAGTATGTCCCCAAGAACCCCTTCAACAGATATGAAATGGTGATTATGTTTATCAGTTGAGAAGTATTATACATAGACTTCCCACCCCTTCCCTAGAAATGGCAAGTTGTAATTTAGGGAAGGTTGGTGGGGTGATTTTCTATTTTTTTTAATTGTTTTTCTTTATAATTCGTAACAGTTTAGACAGATCTTTTCATGTTTATGTTGGAAATAATTCTTTGCTTTCACACACGCACACACGAAGTTTTGTGTTCAGGGTAGCAACCAACTCTTTTTCCTGTCTTAATAAATATTGTACATTTTGGTGATACTCTTGCCTGAACTTTCATCCTTATTTGGCAATTTTAGACCTTTCCAGTTTTCATCCCTCTGATTTATTTTACTTTGGAGGGAAAAAGCTAAAAAACATAAGTTAGGCTTGAAATACCATTTAGTGTAATTAAGATTGAGGGCCCAACGAAAAGAGTTAGGGGAACAAATTTGAAAACATTTGAAACAGAAAAATTTCATCCCATAAAGTAAATTTTATGTTCTTAGGGGAAAGAGCCCGGCGCAGGCTGAACTGTGCTACTTGAACAAAGCCAAATGGCTAGAAATGTACGGTGTAGATATGCATGTAGTTAAGGTAAGATCCGTGTGGTATTTTATTTTATTACTGTGGGGTCCCTGCCTTGGTGTGGGTCAGTCCCTCCGGGGTGTCCTCGTTGTGGTGTGGGTTGCCCCCCAGGCCGTGGTCCCTCAGAAGTACCTCCCTCCCCCAGGGCTCCTCCCAAAAGTGCGTCTCCAGCCATGTCCCCCGCAGTGTCCCTTTCCACATGCCTTTTCCCGTGTCCCTCAGTTTTTTCCTTTGGTGTCTCCTTCCCCTGGCAGCCCCTGCTTGCTCTTAAACACGGGGCGAGCCGAGGTGTGGGCTCCTCTGGCTGCAGGGCGGGTGCCAGGCCGTTTCCGCGGGCATCGGAGCTGTCAGGGGCAGGACGCGGCCTCCTCCCACACACGGCACCCTGCAGCCTCCTGCTGCCAAAATCTGACAGTTTGCACACATGCAGATGCATATTCTTCTGCTCTGTGATGCTAAAAAAATACGCAAACCTTACTGCTGAGTTTACAAGGTATGGATTTTGACATGCTACCATAGTAAGATTTACACTACTAATGGCATATTGATTATTGATTCTGTGCTTGCTTGCAGGGGAGAGATGGTTGTGAATATGCTCTTGGACTGACACCAACAGGCATATTGATCTTTGAAGGAGCCAACAAAATAGGCTTATTCTTTTGGTAATCTGTTTTTGTGTTTTATTCCTTTCTATTAAAATGCTGAAATCTTTCTCCTTTACATAATGGGATCCTGACTATATTTTGTAATGTAAATTGAATCTACAAGGTTGAAATATCAAGATTAAACCTGAAGGTAAATTGGTCAGGGTATAGAAGTACCACTCTCAAATGTGAAATATTTGTCGAAAAATAGTCACATTTCCAGGAAATCATACTTCTATTACAAGTCCTGAAGTGTTCCAGGATTGCAAATCCCTCGTACGTTTTGTGGGATGGTCCTAGATTACAAAATGCCATTTTTCCATTAATTTTCTTTTTGCTTCTTGTGTTTAGGCCTAAAATCACAAAAATGGACTTTAAAAAGAGCAAACTAACGCTTGTGGTTGTAGAAGATGATGAACAGGTAACTCTCTTCCCTTACTTGGGCCTGATCCAACAAAGTGTGGTGTGTGCTCGGGCTGGCAAGAACACAAGGGAGGCCCAGCACACTGTTGGACCAGACTGTATTTCTCCTACCAAAGAGAGTAACTAATATCATGCATGCCAACTTCCAAAGCTTTTGTTTCTGCATTTAGGGCAGGGAGCAAGAGCACACATTTGTTTTCCGATTAGACAGTGCCAAAACGTGCAAACATTTGTGGAAGTGTGCAGTGGAGCACCATGCTTTCTTCAGATTGCGAGCCCCAGCAAATAGTAAATCTAGTAGATCCGACTTCATAAGGCTGGGATCACGCTTCAGATTCAGGTATTTAGCAAAGTAACAGCAATATATTTGTGTTTATACAAAGGAGTGGGTACAGCGCGCGGCAAAAGGCAGTAGTTAACTTTGTTTATTTCTGTATTTTAAGTGGTCGGACAGAGTATCAAGCAACACATGGGACAAGATTACGCAGAACTAGTACATTTGAAAGAAGACCCAGCAAGCGATACCCATCTCGAAGGCATTCAACTTTTAAGGGTAAGTGTTTGCACTTGTGTTCACTGAACCGGTCACGCAGGTGTCCTGTTAGCTCATATAAATGTCATATTACAACCATAAAAACTGTACCACAGTATAAAAAGGAAAACATGTCAGACCACCTAAAAAATCAGAATGTACGTGTGGTTTGTTTTTTGTTTTTCTTCTGTTTGTTTGTTTTTTTTTTTTCTCTCCAAAGTCAGAGTCTGTTGTTCATATTTGCCATTTTTAATCTCTGTCTACACGTAATTCTTCCATCCTCCATATATGGAGAAGGAGGTATCTGTGGTTTCTTTTGTTGCTCTCTTGAGGAGGGAAGAAAAGTTGCATCAAACTCAGTGTGGGAATGCTTGTAATAACTTGTTACATAGAGCAGAGCAGTGTCCAGAAGCCTTTCTGACTTGCTTATCTAGCCAGACAGTTTTAGGGTTACTGAGCAGTCTTACTATGCAGTTGTTGCTGCTTTCCTGATTGTAATGGCATGTTACTCACCTATCCAGACTCTGAGCTTAACTCGCTTTCTCTGGGACTTGAAATGTGCTCAACTTGAATGGAATGACAAGGAATTGATTTCCCTTGTGGTTTTTGTCATTTGTCCTTCAAACTGAAGCTGATATTTTTGTTCCTTGTAGAAAAACTGAAGGAGCAATGCAAGACAACCCCCTCTAAATTCTGTATGGCTTGAGGCTGGAGGTGTAGTTGCTGTATGGAGCAGGGTGACCTGACATTCCTTTAGGATGTCTTCGCACTCCTTTGCATTCCTAGAATATGGACCTCAGTTCCATGAAAAGTCCTTGTGGCATTACAGGGGCACTGTTATTCCTGATGCACAATGAGGGGGAAAGGGTAGCAAGCATGCATCCTTTCTAGAGGGTGTAACCCCTCCATCCCTCCACCTTACTTAGTAAATGTCAGTTTTTGACAGAAAGGCAAATTTGTTAAATTTATGAGACATTGTTATGTGATACATGAGAGTCAATTATATGGTAAATGTGGAAGATTTCGTAAGTCGAAGAATGGATTATATTTTTACAATAACAGGATCTGCCAGGCCTGCAGGTGATACCTTGTGTCTCAGTGCTTCTGTACTTAGGTCTGTGGGGTGGGGGGGAGAAGAAAGGGTGGCTTACGCTCAGTTTAGTTCTCTGTGCATAACAGCCAGGCAGAACTGCTGTCATACCCAGATGATCTCCCTCCAGAGAGCTCAACAGAACGTTTGTTAAGTTAATGCAAAAACTCCCTTTAGATTATCATCTTTCACGCATCTCTTGGCCGTTAAGATCTGTACCTAGTTGCAGCCCACAAACGTTGGATTCTGTCCTAGCTCAGTCTCTTTGAGACTTCTACAGTGTCTCATTAAGTTCATCATCCACTTCCTGCAATCAGCAGAGACTTGGATTTTCAGCTGTATCACTCAGCAGTTTTTCAGCACTCTTGAAAAATACGCTTTTGTCAGGAAAGAGAAATTACACGTCCCAGTTACTCAACTGCCTCCTTCACTGTTCGTTCCAGCCTGTCCAAAGCTCAAGCCATGACCTTGTTGTTCAGGATTGCTCAGTGCCTTTCTGTATTCCCAACTGATGAGCTTTTTGGGCTACCGTTTTTCACTGTAATAAGTCACAGGCCATTACCAGCTTCAGGAATACTCTGGTTTCTGTAAGATGCAAAATTTCTGTGAGGGCTGGCTTCTGATTTCCAAGGGACTGAATGGTATTGACACGGTAGCTTCAGCAAGGTGAGAAAAATAGTGTTCTGGTTGTGCAGAACTTACTCTGCCAAAGGTCCTCCTTTTGTGACGTTTGGGAAGAATACTCCTGTCTGGTGTCATCTTTGGGCTTTGACTCTTGCAAAAACAGGGGGAAATTCGTGTGTGTGCCCCGTCCTTTATGTACTCACACAGGAATGCTGGAAAGCACAGGGCTGCACTTGCAGTTCTGACACATTTGTGCAAATATGTCTGTATTAGAATTTGCTTAAGCGGGAGTGTAACTTCCCGATCACGATGGTGGCAAAATTGCTGATACTTCAGGTCTTAAGGTTTTTTCTCCTGTCTTAAGGTTTTTTGTTTGTTTCTTTTTAAGCAAACAATCCTGTGAAAGCAGCACAACTGTGGTAAGTGACTGCCCAAGTTCTCTCTATCTCTCAGTTGCTGTTGTCAGGCAAAAGGGATTCTGAAGACCGTTTCTGCATTAGGATTTGTCAGAATAAATTCTCTGGTCTGGGATGAATTGCTCTGCGATCTCATTATGCAGCACCAGATTCTTCTTGGGGACTGCCTATGAGACTTTAAGTGCTTCCATGTTAAAAACTTTTTTCTTTCTGTGTTTGAGATTAGACTAAAGTAAAACGTATTTCCTTTCTGCTCATGGCTGTTATGCTGTATGATCTAGCATTTGTTACTGTTTCATAAATGTAAAATGAAGAAAAAAATTTTGCACCCCTCTTTCTTTCACATAGTTGCTGTGGTGTATATCTTGAAGAAAATATTAATGTCCTTAAGAATATGAATTTTACTTCACTGTAATGCTTCCCTGAAGAGTAGAACCCTGAACTATGGGAAATTGTGACATAGATGTATTGATTACATAAAAGCTAATTTTTTTTCTCCCTTAGTGCTAAAAACACTCCTGAAGTCCATAACTACCAGGTAAGAGCATAACAACGGTTGAGGAGAATACTGTCATTTTCTTTCTTAGTGGTAAATATTTTTGCTCTCTATAATTAGTACAGCTGTTTTGCTCCCCTTTCCTTAATCTGGGGTGAGATTCTCTGAGGTGGTTCAGAAATAAACAGCATCACATTGGGAGTTAAGGAGAAAGTGGAGGAACTCCTCTCTTCCTCTGTGTTCTTGGATGCTCTGCAAGCTAAATACACTCCATTTGCCACCCCCTTCCCCTTCCCTTTCTGTGAAATCACTGGTTAAAGCCTTTGGGACTGTGAATATGACAGACCCCAGGAGACTGCTCTGGGAGCAAGCCTGTGTCTAGAGCAGCCTCTCAGATTGGATGATCCATGAAAACAAGTTCAAAGTTGCAGTTATGTCCTCCATCACAACACTCAAGGAGTTCATTCCTGGTCAAATGTTTGCTGATTGGTTTTGTAGTTTCTTTAAACAATCTCCTTTACACACATCAGGAAAAAATCTTACCCAGTCTTCATCTGTGATACTAGCAGTTAGTGCTACTGAGAAAGCAATCTGCTTTCATCCAGACTGTGGGCATGAGAACTTAGACTTAACACTTTTCTTTATTAAAAGCATCACTACTGATTTTGTTTCCCTGTTTCTCTCCAATATATCATGGATATGAGAGAGAAATGCTGTCACCAACGACAGGTGACCTTCTGAAGACTGCTATTGTTAATAGCAACCTTCTTCACTCTCCACCTTTGATTAAAGCTGACATTCTTTTGATGTGCTTTCTATGAGAAGCACTAGATGTGCTAGGTTGTCTCTCAAACAAAAAAGCAATTTTCTTTGCATTTTCCATGAGTGTGTCCTAACGAGCAAGCTCATCACCAAGAGGTCTCATGTATATGCTCAGTGGCATGGGAGAAGGTCTGAAAAAGTGGGGTTTCTAGGGCTCACAGGGAGCATGTTCCTCATGGCCCGAGGAAAATAAAAAGTTAAAGTCACCAGGGAGCTTTTATATGATTTCATTAACCGGGTTCAATGTTTTCACTTGCAGCCACAATATCATCCTAATATACATCCTGCTCAGCCACACTGGCATCCACATACACCTGTGAATGTAAGGTAAGCAATCTTCACTTTATGAAAAAGATTATTACTTCTTCCTTTTATCTTAAGGTGTTGGCATGAAGCTTTAGTGGATGTACTGGGCAATTTTCTGCACATGAAAACCAAACAAAAGTTAGAAATAGGTGATGTAGAGGCAGTATTAAATAATTTCTATTTAGATTTTGGTTTGGAATGACCTAATCTTGATGAAGACTTTTTTTCAGTTTGATTTTTAATTCAGAATTTGAAATACAACTTCAGTGTTTCTGTAGGGAGAACGTTGCATGGGAAGGTGCTCAGTAGCTTCAATAAAACTAATTGCGATTTGATCAATATTTAATCTCCTAACACGAGCAACTCACTTTAGGATAAAGTTATGAGTGAACAGATTCTTGCACTGCAGCACTTTTTTCATCTTTTTCAGAAATACATATGGAAAAATAACAATTACGTGGAACAATGTATTGGGCAATTTACAGATAATCAGTGTTAGTGAAATTGTAACATTGAGTTTTTGAGAACTGTTTCACAGAAATATTCCTTTATGTGCTATTGTGCTATCTTCTTGCATAGTTTTTTTATTTTGGAACTATTAATGAGAGAAATTGAGTGAAAAGAAATTTTGGAAGAAATTTACTCCAAGTTATAACCAGATTTGTGGAATGCACAGTAGAGGCGCAGACCTGCTGGTTGACATGTGTCTGCACATGTACATATGATAAAAATCAGCTGCTATTTTATCTTAATAAAAGGTAACCTTTTTAGGTTACTCAGTTTTTTAGACAAATAATCATTATCTTGACTGTAAAATACCGATTCCCTAATCTTCATTCCTATTCACCTTACATTTTTTTATCTCTGTATTCTTACATCAGAATAGGTAGACTTTGCTCTTAGTGTAGACAGGCTCTGGGGATGAGGCTGAGCTTAAAATGGATGAAAAGACAATTTTGTCCGAATTTTAGTCTGAGAAGGGAATGCAGGAGAAAGGCAAATACATTATTAGAAAAGCTAACTATGCAGAGAAGCAGACAGACTCATGATCACCTAAAAATTCCTAGCATACAGCAGTAAAGCATATACTAAATTTATGCTAGAAACAAAAGACTTTAAGTTGGGTAATAAACTTTGCCTGTACTTCAAGATTCTTCTTGGGTTTAGGATTTCCTTGTCCATGTAATTGTGTGTGATTTAAAATGTACAATTTCACATTACAAAAGAGTGATTGCTGAGAGAGAGTAATGATTTTATAAATCATTTGAGGTTTTGCTGCAATTTTTCTAAAGATTTCTTCACTTATGATACTAGTCTGTCACATATTAAAGCCAAATAGTTCACCCTGGAGCAGAGTGATACTGAAATAAGCACAATAATGTATTGTAATGCGTGTAGACAACCTCCCCATTCAGCCCCTCCACTGCCAGGGCAAAGATTAAGGTCAGTGAAATATGAACAATGGCTTTTTTATAGCTAGGCTTGTAAGGCTAAAAAACATACTCAAAAGCTCAGTCTTGCAAGCTCGGTAGAAAAGGTACTTAGAATTTTTGTCTCAGGTAGAAGCATTTATGTGTGTGGTTAAAGTGGAAGCTTCATGTTATTCTAACTTGGAGTCAAAGTGGAAGAGTTTGACATTTAACATCTTGGATAGCTTGATTTGAGAAAGCTTAATCCATCCTACTGTGAACTTGAGATCAAACCACAGATGCATGAAATTCCTTCTGCTGGGCATGCAAGTCTAGAATGGGCCAAGGGCTGAAATGAAAACTACCTGTGCAATACATGTTATATATGGGGGTTTTGTTGTATAATTTGTGAAATAATATGTGGAATTGTGTCTCAGTCGTCTTAGTAAAATCCTTTCAGTGAAATTACTTGTTTGCAGTTAACTTAATGTTCACTCTTCCGAGAAAATTCATTCCAGTTAACAGTTGCCATTATATAACTTTAGATTATCTCCAAAAACAAAGGTAAAATCTGAACCTGCCTCTATTTCTGCTAGCATGAAAAAAAAAAAAAAAAAAAAAAAAAAAGTGCAACTTCAATTTGGTAATAAGAGAATCTTAAATATTGTGTTTTCCTACATACTGCTCAAAATTTTTATTTATTTATTCTGCACCACCACCAGCTCCCCCAACCACCCCCCCCAGTGATTCAGGAGGCACTGTAGGAGTGGTTGAAGTTACCATGTCTAAGCATCAATAAGTAACGAGCAAATAACAAAAAAATATTTTTCCTTGTGGTGCTTTTGCAAGTTTCACGACACAGTCACAGAGAAATACCTGTACTAACTATAGACTCTGACTCTAGGTGTTCATCTTAACAAAATACAAGTGTAATTTATAGGCTGCTTCAGTGTAACTAACTGCACCAGTGCTGAACAAATGGCAATATTTACAGGATTGCCTTCCTTAATTTTTTAGACCTTAAGGATATATTTTTAACGAGCTTAGCTTTTTGCATGACACGGTTTATTTCACTTGTTTGTTGTACGCATTTAGTTCTCCCGTAGCCTCCTCCTCCCTCCCCACCGTCCCTCTAGGATCCAGCAGCCTTGATGCCTGACACTTCTCTGCAACACTTGAAATCAGAGAGGCTTTTTAACGCCTGAGCTCTGATTCAAAGCCCTTTGAAGTCAGGGGAAAGGTTCCCAGTTGCTTCAGCGGCTTCTGCGTCGGACCTGCGGGTCTGTCACCCTCTCCTTCCCTTACCGGTCGCTGCCCCTCGTGCCGCATGCATGCTTAGCTCTTGCTGGAGGAACTGGTGTTGCTGTGTAGCGCTCATAAGTTTACTTCCATCTCTCACTAACCAATAACTGTGCAAATGGTACAGGCCACCCTTTCATGATGACAGGCCCCATTGGAAACCCCCCACAAGTGGAGAGGACAGCACTTTACGCTATATCCAGGAACAGAACCAGAAGAATTTAGGAGGAGTCCAAAGCATGGTGTACCAAGATAAACTCATGACGACTCTCTGAAAAACCGCCATCTTCATTTCACCTGCCATCTTAGACCATCACTGCATTCCATGGTCCTTGTCTGTCTGCAGTATGTTCAAAGTGGATTGTGCATAAAGTGTGTGTCTTTGTATGTACATCCATCCTCGTTTAGTGTTCATGGACATTCTTGGGAAAAGTATTCTCTGTGTCTTTGTAAAAAAAATCTTGAAAAACCTTTTATGAAAGCTGACAAGAATTTTTAGTGCCCTGAGACCGGAAATATTTCTGGTTCTACCATGCTTTTGAATCTGTGACCCTCCACCTGCTGTTGAAGATCAGCCGTTTGTGCCTTAGTTACTTTTATTATCTTGTTTCTTTGAGTCAAATTAATAGATGAAGCTTGAGAAACTGTTTTTTAGTTGACGTGCAAATAGAAGATTGGAGGGAGGAAAAAACAGAATTCACAATGGCAATCAAAACGGCTTGTGGACCCACCAACAAAGGGAACCTGCTGAGGTAGTCATAGATTTGGGCGGCATTTGTTTTTCATTTGTGTTCTGCAGCAAAAATAGAGGTGCTTTGCCTAACTTTGAAAACCAGTATAGGGAAAGAACACTATAATAAACTTAATGGAGTACGTTTATTCCTTTTTTTTGACTCACTGATTATTTTGATAGCATTTCCCAAAACCATACCTGCTGCTATAAAGGCAAGAATGTTAAAAATGAATCCTTGCTAAAAGGGTGCTGCTGTCGTCTTATTTTTAACGTGATTATGGAAGTGAACTATACAATCGCATAAAACTACCTACTGATAACTTTTCTCTGAGTGGATTTGAAAACACGGCTCGTAATCGGTACACTACAAAATGAGGACAATTCAGTGAAATAGCTCTATTTTTTTAAAGTTAGATGTTTGCAAAGTTGAATGTATATTTTACAAACCTAGGTCTTTAAATGGGCTTGGCTGGTATTTTGATCACTTGCCGATTTTTTTGGTTTTTTGCTTTTTTGTTTTTTAAAAACTGGAAATCATAGTGCCATCTTCACTCGTGCATTTGTCTTAATTAGGCCTTACATCTGTGGTCTCTCTGAAGCTGTCGGAATGAATGAATCTTCATTTGAGATATTTTAAAAATGAAGTAGTTTTTAACATGATTTTGATAAATACACCTTTATAAATGGCTATGACCATGAATTTTTTCAGAGCAAATTTGATAGTGTTTAACTTTTTGTGAAATATATTTGTTTACAGATGCTATCTTTTAATATTTGTTTTGATCTTTCCTGTATGTGCTAAGTACAAATAAAAATTGTCAATCTTCTTGTTCTTCTTACGATGCATTATTTATTTTTTAAATAGTTGAGGGGAGGGTGGATAGATACGATACACTTTATGCTTGTACCTGTTTTGCTCTCGAATCACTAATGCTGTGTGGGATCGACATTTTCAGTGCAGTCTGTAGAGTGGGGAAAACAATAAAGCAATTGTGCACTGAGATGTGAAAAGGCCAGAGTAAGCCTAAGGTGGGTCATCACAGAGGCTGACTTCAGTTTCCCCAGGCTAGTCTTCCTCTGTTTCAGCAGTATTTTACTTGGGAAAGGAAGAAAGAGAAACTTTGTTGGAGCGACTGGAACAGGAGCCTGGTTTAGCTGCTGCTCTGAATGCCTTCTGGAGAAGGGGTTCTTTTGTTTTTTTTTGGTTTTTTTTTTGTTTTTTTTTTTAAAATACGTTTTAGTGGAGTATTGTTGCTTAAGGAATCACACAGCTACGTTCATAATACAGTATCATTCTTGTCATAGAACTTCATTGGCTTCTGTGTGGTGTGTTGTCAGTGTTCCTCCTCATCACGTGTTACCTGCGGTTTGGTTCATTGCTGAAGGTGCACTGAATGAGAGAATCTCCCTGACAAATCTCAAGAAAAAACAGCACAAGGCCTAGCTGGTTCTTAAGTGTTAAAATGCCTCATGCAGGAGCTCTGCACCTGGGTGAAGAACAACCCGTGGGACTTGCACAGTCTGCAGTTGGTGTGTGTCATTTTGTCATTCTGCTTCTCTGGAGAAGGAGCTCACGCACT